GTCGATATTGCTCTGGTCCCTGAGTTTGTTCGTCTATCGGTGTTCCGTTTTACTGCAACGGTCAACCATGGGGTCTATAAGGTGTCCCATCGCCTATTTCCACTTTTTATATATTGCCATGTACGCCATGCATGCTCTACTGATTCTGAATTCTCGTTCATCTTCCAGTTGCTATGCAGTTGAAATCTAGAATGGGCCATTCCCACGGTGACTTGGGTTTTGTTTCGGTGGCCTTCACACAACTTGCGGTCGAGTTCGCTATGGATTATGGACCGCTTCAGCGCGGCCGCGTTTGGCGCGGCGCCAATCCGTTTTTCTTTCGCCGAGCGACAGCCTAAGTCATGACGTTCGTATAAGTCGCTGATCCGCTTCAGCAACCAGTGGGAACGGGCTGGCATGCCAAAAGCAGACGCGCTGACACACCCCATCATCCGCAGCGGGTCAGGCTGTATGTTTAGATTATGGTATGACAGGCTAGTGCTAAGCACTGGCAGCTGAAGCTGCTCAGAAGTGGCATAGAATAAAGCACTGCAGTTGCGAATCGGCGAAAGAAAGGTTTCTTCGGAAAACTCGTGATAAATGCCGATGGGAGAAATGGCGGAACAAGCGGGTTAATGGTCCTTGTGACAAGGGCTACATGCATATCGATCGGGAGAACCAGCGAAACGAGCGGGCGTTTCGATTGCTCTTCAAGTCTTTTGGGCGGGTTCAGCGAAACTGATCGTGTCCAGCTCTTTTCGCGTTAGCGCGGAATTCGCCGATGTTTCGCAAGAGCGGTTGACGTCCTTCCGGTCTAGGCTTCGTCTGCTTTCACCTTCTTCGATTCTTTAGCCATAGACTGTGCCTTCAAACTAGACATGATGTGTAACCTGTTGTAATAAGGTTTTCTCCAAGAATGCTAGATCTTTCCAGACAGTAAGCGATAGCCAACATCACCAATATGGCAGATCAACTTAGTGCTGGGATGTCGAAACTCAAAGTAAGTCTCATTTATTATTCGCTTACTTTGCATATTCGTGGGGGAATCGCAATCTATACTGCATGCTGATATGGACAGATGCAAATTGTAAATGGTTCGCTAGCACTAAGGCACTGCTGGTAGCTCGCGCTACGCAGGAGATTGGGCAAGAACGGAGTTGCTGAGTACCCGGTTAGGCGGGGTCTGCGGCAAGAAAATCGCAGTTCGCCACGCCAGTGGGTGTCGCGACGGCGTCGCGCCAATTTTAGGTGGTATTGGTCGAAAATACACAATGTATGACCAAAAATAGACATAAGTGTCCACCATGTCGTTTACATGAAATCCGATGCTCGAATCGAAAGCGTAGTTCAAGAAAACGTCGAGCCTGCCGCGGGCAACAAAGCGGCAATTGATGATTCTCTAGCCCCTCTTCCGATTAGGCGCTGTATGCCCTAGAGGTCTACGGAAAACTAAAACTCAATCCCTTTGATGACGCCATCTCTACATTTTCTCAGCGCTTCTCGGTAGAGTGGCGCTTTGTGACCTTTCACATTCCACCTTTTCACGCACACTATGTGGCTCATCTACGTCGGCGTCGCCTTCCTTCCATAAACTCATTTCCTGGCAACTCATGTTTCTGGTACCTACGATGCCCTGGCAGCGGCACTAAAGGTTTTAGTTGTCACGTAACCACTTGAGGGGGTCACTATTTGGTGAGACATTATCGTAATCTGGTATGAAAAAGCCCTATTGAGGCGTTCCAGCTCAGGCGTGCAGTCTTGACATGACTAATTCTCGGTGGATGTGGACCCTTGTGAGGCACATAGCACCTCCAGTCTTCGCACACTGCGGGTATCCGGGACAGTCGGCAATGAAATCGTAAGAAAGTATACTGCGATCAATAGATACAGCCCTCAGCAGTCGAATGGAGAGGGTGTGTCAATGTGACGGTGTTTGGATTTGCACCAGCTATTTCACCAATCTCTGCTCTCTTCATCTGTCGAACATGTTGGTGTCTTGCCATAATCGACGTCACGACACCACGTCTTCAGTTGTCGAGTACTGTACGTGTGCTTTCATTTTCGCGTATATCTCGAAAAGGTTGGTCCCCGCTCCCAAATCGAAGACCCGTACTTGAATTATTCGCAAAGTTTGATTGCCAGAGGAAGAGTCCGCTACCTGTGCCGTTTCGGAGAAACAGGAGAATCGTTATGTGGAGGTTTCGCGAGAATGTGCGCCAAGGGAGTTGATGCGTATGGATCAGTGCATACCGATGGTTTGTTAAAATCGCAGAATAGTAATGGATCGATACCCCCGTCATTCTGCGCGCATTCTCTCGATTCGCTCCTACTCCGATCTTCCTTATTTCTCCATTCACCAGATCGATGCGTATACTTTCTTGGGGCGCAACCTCCAGTTCTCCTTCCCTAGATACAGATACATGGACGCGGTCTTCTTGATCCAGTTCTGGAATGGCTCGACGGCTGACTTTCACTAACAGTGTGGGAGGAGGCGAGTCGCATTTCTTATGTGCAGTTGGTTTCCTCGAAGATCAGTCCTACTGTGGACGCGTGCTATTACGGTGTTTCAACTGAACTTTTGAAAAAAAAACATTTGAGATTTCTCTTTATGCAGTGCAGTGGTCTTGGAGAAGAACTAGGCAGTAAGCACTATATCACAAATTAGCTGTTTATTTTATAGGTAGGAGCTGTGGCGCTGCCCGAAAAAAGATCTCCAGGAACAATCGGATCGAAATTCGAACTCGTTACCAACTTGACTGCCTTAAGTAAGCTTTTTAGAATTTTCAATGTCTACAATACACAACGATTTGATGTCCAATTTAGAATTGAAGCCCAATGTGCCATATTATAAGTACGACGTGCGCATGTACATCGTGTACAAGGGGGATGATGCACGAGAGCACTTGAAGGAACTAACCAAGCAAACGAAAGACGAGTATGCTTCTTATTTCGTATCGTACCTTATGTGCGTTGCTATGATAGTAAATTGAGAAAATCTTTTTCAGTTTCCCTGAACAGGAACGCAAAGTCGCCGCGGTAGCTGTATACAAGCATATTTTGAAGTCTTTCGCAGACGTTTTCCCTAAGGATGGGACTTTCTTCTATGACAGGGCTGCTGTTCTCTTTTCAGCTCAGAGGGAACTTAAACTCGGAGGAGAGGTATACCTTAGCTTTCCCTTTGTTTTTTTTTCTCGTGTTGGTTTTTGTTAGAAACAGTTTTTGTAGGAAAAAGTGATGATGTTGCCCGCAAGTCTGGTGTCAGCAGCTGGTAGCGGTGCTACCGGTATTCGTGTCGTAATCAAAAAAGTCACAGATGGGTACCAGGTATGTTTAGCTTCCTTACTCAGCCAGTGTGGTTTGGGTTCAGACATTGGTGTAGCTCCATGGCGAGACCACTGCAGTCGTCGTGCTCCAACTCCTACACTTCTCTATCTAGCTTATTTGTTATTGAGATCTCTTTCTATCTGTGCTGAAATCTCTTTCTATCTATCTTATATTGTACCGCGTTCAGACTTCGCCGCACGAGCGATTTCATATAGAAGTCTGAACGAGGTGTCACCTACCTATCTATTTGCCAAAAATGATTTATAATTCAACCCATCCAACCTAATGTGGTTCTTTTCTGTGCAAATAAATGCTATGAAAAATAGCAAAGTGGTGAGCGCCTGAAATTGGCTTTGACCAAATTTTCGAAACAGTATTAAAGGTGTAAACAACGTGTACGGTATAACATGGGAGCAGAAGT